ATCAGTCATAATATTAGTCATCAATTCTCTTCTGTTTGGATGGACTACAGAGCTCCCAGGAGAATCCTCCACCCATCACGTGTGCTCTTCTTCACAACTCCCAGGAATAAGATTATAAAATGAAAGCTGAGCTCTTCACAATTACATCCTTTCATGAGTTAGGACTTCACAACACCAAGTAAATACAGTAAAAAGAGAACTGACAATGGCAAGGCTAACTCTTTGCACGTGCCTATGAGCCATCTCTCATGGGTAATTATATGCCAATCAGTTGGTCAAAAGAGATTAGCTGAGGAGCTTAAAACATTGCCATTCCCTTTACAGAAATTTTAAGGCAATCTATTGAGACTGCATAAAGAAAGCTTTATGCTCCTAGCACACTTCCTAACGAATATTCTTCGCAACATCACCATCACTCTGTTACTAAGTTAGGCTTCTGTTACACTCCTTTTGTAATCTTTCCAGGTTTGCTGTTTTAACGCTTGTACAAGATGATGTTTTGAAAGAATAGGTCAATCCTTTATTCTCATGCATAGTACACAACTTGGATTTTAACTTCTAGAGTGCCACACAGTGGCCACACACATTCGAATGCACAGCAAATGATTCAAGGGTAAAAATCATACAGGAGAAAAGACTGCATTTCTGTCATCTTGACTCCGCCTTTACTTTCTGCAATCATTTACACCTCAGTAAGACAGAAAACATTATTCTTCCGATTTGTTTGCATTTCACTTTTGGGGTGCCACTCACTTTGCAGAGGACAAAGTACAAGGAGAAGTTGATCAGGATCTACATATTTTGTGAACACTGAAATGTCAAGATAGTGACATTATTTTACACTCATACTCCACACTAGGAATTATTTGCGGACTTCCAAGGCTATGATATTTCGCTTCTTGCCAAAATGATGTTGAGATTCTAGCTTTCTTAGAAGTGGCTCTAGTGCTCAGAGCCATTCCATCTCCACGTTCTCCAAGATTCTTCCTGGTAATAATACTTCTGGAGCTTGAAAGTTCTGTTTTATTAGTCAGAAGGTTTTGCTGATGGCCTTAAAGCACAGATTTTCCCAGATAGCTAATATCCTGCTTCACTTCAGCCTTCTGCAGTAACTAATAGGCCAGGAGCACAGACAAAGACATTCCCCATGTTAGACCAAAATTTGATCAAAATCAGTAAGCCTCTACCATGCTTTGGATGACAATAACGGACACAAACAAAAAATTTGGGGACTATGTACTTCTCCCTTTGGAAGGATTTTCTGTAAATTTAATAGAAGTTAACATTTCTATTTAAAAAAAGCTTTTTAAATAGGCATCTCTGTTCAATTACATATACAATGGTAAAATAAGACAAAGGAATATAGGCTTTTAGAATCATCTCTAATACAAACCTACTCATTTTTTTTTCATTAAATTTTACATGATTTTTCCCATAAGCATACCTGGCTTTCTACAACCAATTTTGATCCGCATAAATTCTTCCCAGAAAATGAAACAATTACCTACTTAACGATTTCTCCATTAACAGGCATTTTTGCAATAATAGATAATGGAGAAGTCCTTGACTAGCTTGAAGAGAATTCTGACTAGCATAAATAGGCATTTACATCAATAAAAATCTCAGCATAAGTTCAATGTAAATTTAGAACATTCAGTGTACTGAGAATATGATTGATATAGGTATCCTGGGTAATTTAAGGTACACCTGAAATATTTCTTGTTTTTGAAAGAGATGGACATATACTGTGCCCTGATATCCAACGATGGTATTCTAAACAGATAAAACATCTGTTCTTGGGATGCTAATAACCCCACTCCAATTGCATACCTAGGCTGTCTCTCTCCCAGCTCAAGCCCTAGTCATCAGCAGAGCCCTAATCCAAAACCCCCAACCATGGCCCAGATGAACAAGTTATGAGGGCAGAATACTTTCTGCAGCCTGCCCTTGGCAACCACTTCCCAGCCCCACTCCAGCAGAACTCCAGAATCTCTCTTCCAACCCGAATGCTAGCCCCAGCCCTATGCATTGCCACCAAACCATACTCTCGCTGTCATCCAAAACACCACTTTCTCTTGAATTTTACTTCTTTATCAAATGGTCATCATGTCACACGGCAAAATTCTTCAAAACATTCTCGTTTTGTACCAAAAAAACCCCACAGTTTGACATTAATAATATGGGCAATATCACTACTGTGGTTATTGCTCATTAAGTCACAAGACTACAAAGTAGCAATTAACCCTACTAGTCACTGAAACACAGATATTCATTCTACATATCACTGTCAACTGAGAATTGGCCTACTAATCTGGTCTCCCTCTCAGCACAGTGCAAATGGTTAGACTGAAAAAGGAAAAGGAAAAATATTTTTGAACGGACAGGATCATAGTTTAGCATTTGAAATGTACTAGAGATATACCACAAAAGGAGCATCTAAGTCTTGTCCATCTAACAGCTGAAGCAGCTAGGAAACAAATCTAGTAGCAAGACTCACAGAAGGGAGTATACTGGAACTTGCACATTCTTAAACTCAGTCCAAAGAGATGGCCTCTCAGGTATTTTGAATCCTCGCTTGCATTTGGATGAGTTACTTAACTTTTGTAACCACCATTTCTTCAGCAGTAGAATAGAAATGATAATCCTGCCTTTTCTGACAGTGAGGCTATGAAGTTTAATTCATTTAAATTCTGTGAAAACCTTTTGAGCTCTTTATAGGAAAAGCGTCACTTAATTAAGCTTTGTTATTATTCCAAAGGAGCAACTGTCACAAAAAATCCTATTTACTTCATTGTGTCTATTCCAATTTGCACATTACTGCCCGTCGCCCCAGGAGTGCTCGTCCCTTCCTTTTCTGACAAGGACTTACGCTGGTCTAAGTGTGTTATACAATAATATACTCTACTTAACATCAAAATGTATTTTAAATAGTGACAAATGGATGTTATGCTCATCAGGATTTTCAATATTGTTTTTCATTACACAGCTTACTGTTCTTTTCCTGAGTTCTGTACATTTTATACCAGGTTTGCTTCTCTTTATCAGTTGCAATATATTCAAATCTCCTCTCCTGTCTTAGTTTATAAATTAAAATGGTTCTTAACTATTTTTATGAACACAGAAAAAGAACATATAGCTTTGATTTGTCTGTCTACAACTAGGCCAATGTTGGTGTTGCTAGTTCTCAGCCAATACTGCACTGTTCTCTATTTAACGTCCATCTATTCCTAAATAAAATAATAATGGAAAGAAAAAGAAAACACAAGAGAGATGTGGCAGCCCTTAAGTAATACAGGCTATAGTAGAACCCACCTGTCCTCTTTTAGATTTTCAGAGCTTAAGAACTCGGGTGTAGTAGCTTCCCCTCAGAGCTTTCATGTAGTACTGTCTAATTCGATGATGCCGCCCCTGATTATAAACGCTGGGACAAGGAGCCTCATATATCTGAACAAGCACAACTATTACCACTATGGGCTGTGGACAAACTGCAGATCATAGAAGTCAATTCACAGAGCATGAATCTGAGCAAGGAACCGACTAAAACACAATAGGCAAGTTCTTGCCTCTGCTGTGGTCCCTATCTGGTTTGAGAAAAATCTAAAGGATCCAACTAGTCCAAAAGGCCCAAGACTGGCAGAGAGTAACTTCTCAGAAGACAGCCACTGGAGAAAAGAGCTGTAAGTACCCTCGCCTATCTGACAGCTATGCCAAATGCAGGCTGTGAGCAAGAGTGAGCCACGTGGCGCTTCAAAGGCCATAGTTATGCATGAAACCCAAAGAAAATGGAGAGTATTTAAAGGATTTTGGCAGCCAACTACAAATGTCTAAGACAAAGCCAGGGGTTCCCCAAACCCTGAACAGCTCAGGATTTGACAAACTCGACCACAGTGGAAAGCTACAGTAAGCCCACTGCTCTGTTGGTTACAAACATTGCAATGGACCGCTTAAGCACTCTGTGTGGAATTTCACACAAAGACTTTTTATATGAAGTGCTGCGTGGTCTTTACAAGTCAAAGGGCCTTGTATCTCATGGCTCCACGCCATCTGAAAGGCAGCAACACGGAAACCAGAAAGCCTCTGCGCACAGCAATGGAAGACTCAGATATTAAAATGTTAGAGAAAGCAAATCAGTATTACTTTTTGCTGAAATGATATACTCCTAGAAAATTTCATAAACAATTTGGCACATTAATCAGATGCAACAAGATTAGGTCATTACTAGTCAGACTGGTCATAACAACACTAAGTTGTTACGTTCAACTCAGAATGAGAACAAGGGCCCTGGAACTGTAAGTACATCAGTAAGGAAGCTATTTTCCCCAGTCAGAAGGTTTCCAGTCCATCTAAAGAAAGGCTTCTTCCTTGAGAAACAAAGAAAGGCTTCCTCATTTTGGCATACTGAGTAAAGATCTGATGAAGAATGGTAGGAGAAGGCAGCTCCTGCTTCCTTCACAGAGCTTAAAGAACAGGATATAGCACAACATTAAGGAATCTGTTTATCTCGGGCAACTCAAAGCCATCTTTTCAAGCAGACCACAACTACCTAGCCTCAACACCTGGCCATCCCCACTAACCCACTTTTAACCTTATCTACTTAAGATCCCAAGTGTTGTTTGAAAACAGAATTGAAACATTACTGGGCACCTTTTAAAATATCACTGTTATCTTAGTCCAAATCACATATGAAAACTTTGTAATAACCTCATTCTAAATGTGACATACCTCCTTTATCTGGATTCAGGATCGCCACTTATAATCAACCAAAGGGACAGAACTTTTGCAGTATTGATGTTCATCAGTTTCACAGACAGTAGAAAGATCTATCACCATTTCAACCTCTTTATTGTTATCTACACTACTCACTACCTAAGAGATCCGGCAGTGAAAGGCAAATCCCCAATACCAATACTTTGTTTGTTCTCGCAATTCTTTACAAGTCACAATATATATGGAAAATGAAATGAAGAGAAAACAAAAATAAGAAAAGCCATTTTAATTACCTTGCCGTGAAGTTTGTGGACATCATATCTTATCTGAGCAAATTCACGGAGTCCAAAAGATCCACCAACAAGATACAGCTGAAAAGCAATAAAATAAAAACAGAGATGCATCTGGACTATTTAAAAAAAAATAAATGCTTTGCATACTGACTGCACTGCATTTACAAGGGACCCCTACTATTCTTCCAACAGAAGCACCAGGAACTAAAGATAATAACCTCAGTGGAATACGTGTATAACAAGGAGAAAGGGGAGTACATGGGGTGTGAGGGCTCTCTTATACTTTCTGGGCCTACAGATTTCACAAATTTCTTCTTTCATACAGAAAGAGCTGCTTCATGACTCGAATTTTCCAGGGACTTCCTCCCCTACCCCCTTTTTTTTTTCTTCCCTTATGGCTTCCTGACATAACTGCAGCACGGGAACCTTGACCTCACTGCCATGGGATTTATTCTCACTATTTTCAAACTTTAATGGAGAAGTAACAACACCATGTTGACTTATACTGATGTCTGTACATAAAAGATCCAATTAAGCTTCTGAAACAAACTAGCTGATTGGAACTGTGGTTCAATGACACATTATGTAGGCAAAGAAATCAAATCCAGCACATCTGCATCTTTAATATTGCCTCATTAGCTGCCTTACAATTACCTCCGCTCCCGTGATGCTTATGAAAAAGAATAATAAAGGGAAAAATGGGAGAAGGCAGAAGTTCAAATCTGAATAAAAAAATTCATTAAACTATTCTTTCTTATGACAGAGGGATATCATAAATCTGTCTATGTATCTTTATAATTAAAATGCACAGATAAACCAAAAGATCAAGTATTGTTAACAAATACCATTAAGGACTTAGAAATTAGCTTAAAAATCTAGCTACTGTGTTGAAGAACTGGGGTTCCTGCTCTTGCTCTGATAGGACAGGCTCCATCTGCTGTTCTCCACTAAGGCCCCCTGGCAAAGGTAAAGAAGGCCAAAAGGCTTCAAAGAAATGCACATCTACAGAAGGTGGAAACATGAGAAAGCTTTAGGGATCTAAGCTATTAAAAAAATACCCTATTTTATCACACCACATTGCTGCTATGTTCCTTCATCACAGGCTGTTGCTGCAACTGCTAGGTGTTTTCTACAGAATGCTGGCTAATTACATGAAATGTGTAAGGCTATATTATAGCAACAGCCTGTGTTCGGTAGCTGTTATAATTATTCTGCACAGAGAGTCAAAACGTATGCTCTTTCCCAACAGCATGCTATCCCAAGTTCAGGTCAGTGAAGCCACAAAGCCTCACAAAGCCTACGGACTGGCACCTCAGAAACTAATGTTCTCTGTTCACACAGTAGGGAACCCTTGACCAGCAGCCAGGTGTTAAAGGCTCCACAATCTCTTACTATCTTGGCCATTTGGACAAGACTGAGAATGCAGTTAACCATTAGAAACAAATAGACCAAAATTTTGTGATATGAACATCTAGCTGCTAGGTCATAGAACTGCAATTTCATGTGACAGCAAGCAATTTTTCGTGATTACAAATTTGACCTGCCCGAAACTGCACGGCACCATACTGGTACTATCATTATTCAAAGAATTAATGGTGCTCTTGCATACATTCAATCACCAAAATACAGAATTGAAAAGAAGGTCTTTATAGAAAAGAAAAAAAACTCTCCCTCATGTGTCAATATTTTGATAAGAAAGAGTAATAGGAGATAGAAAATAAAAGTATTTAAAATTGTTAAAATGAACCTGAATATTACTCAAGATTTATTTAATCAAAGCAGAAGATTTGTCAGCTGAAGATACGGTAACACAAAATGCTCAAAGTCTCAAGGATCAGGCAATAATTGAATCCTGATATGGCTGACATCTAAGCATAAATTTTCATTGACTGGTCTTCTTTAATTGCTAATGAGTACTATGCTAATTAACAGCCTAAGGGTTAACATAACTAACGTCATGCCCTAATGAACAGAAATCAGAAGTAGTAGAGAAAAATTTATAGCTGTCACAAACTACAGTTTATTGTCTCTGTGTGTATTAGCATGTTTTCATAGAATGGCTATAGCAGGGCAAAAGCAGCTGCGCTAGAAAGGGTTTCAGTACACAGCTATCAAACTAGGTAGAAAGCAGTAATTGCTCATGACACCCATTAAAAAATAGCTTGCCCAAAAACAAACTTGCATCAAGTATACCATTCTGAGATGCAGTATGAACAGACAGAAGATCTTTAACTGAGGATCCTATTCCTCATAACCAGCTATTATTTAACATAATGAAAAGATCCACTGTTGCTTAGGGAGCTTTCCAATGAAAAGATCCACTGTTGCTTAGGGAGGCCACTTTCCAACTAATAAAGAATTACCACATTCTTTAGCTTTGACCATTCAAAACCATGTTAAGGTTGTTGCATGAGGTAAGTCATCCCCTCCCTGCTCCAGGTATTTTTCTCATCACATCCTGTCACTTGTTTGACAACAACTTATTATATATTGCATTTCACATTTGTAGCTATATACACAATAAAGAAGTTGATACACACACACACCTCTGTTCCTTAGGACGGGTTTTGGCCTGAAACTGTAATTTTACTCATACTACCTTCATGCTACTAACGGCATAAAAAGCTTAGATTCTGATTTACTTTTACTCTTCCTATCACATAGGTAGTCTTCATAGCCTGGTAAGTTGCACATTTTGCTTACTATGCATTATGAGTATGGTTGCCTTTACGCTTTACTGCAATGGGTGATTTTTATTACGATGAAACATCAGTTTGGCTGTATCAGAATCAAAGCATATCAGTGCTGGAAAAAATTACACCTATCACTAAAATATTACACAGAAAATGCTGGAAGGTCAGAATTACGATTCTGTGATACAGTATAATTTTCAAAAGCACAGAGTATGTATAAAAACATAAATAATGTTTTGTAATTGTATTTGACCAATGCTCTGAAGAACCAAACATGATGTCTAAGATTTTATTGCAAAAGGGTATAAGAATCAGCTGTATTCAACGCTTCTAATCAGCCAACAGCACATCAATGCAGTTAGCTGACAATACTGAACAGGAATTGCCTGGATCTACACAAGCTATAACAGCAATGGACAACTATTCAATCAATTATATTTTTGGAAACTGTGTTCAAAGGCCATTAAAAAGAAATTAAGATAAAATAAAGTTGTATCAATGAGTTTACGCATTAAAGGTATTACAGGTAAGTAAGGTATTAAAGTACTAAAGGCAATTAAAGGTATTAAAGGTAATACAGGACTTGGTGATATAATTTGTCGAGTGGAAATGCTTCTCTTGGTTTAAGTAGTTCCTCTTCCTTTTGCATTATGAGGGACGATGTCCTCATTACCTTCACTTTACGTTAGCTGTATTTTATGGAAGAATAAATACATACAAACAATATTGAAACATTAAGATTCAGCAGTCAGAATAATTAGAAATGCGTTAAGCCTCAAATGAAATATTCCAGCAATATTATTAGCCTGTCAGCTTTATATATGCTGTATGTTCACATATATTTCTAGTTTCCGTATTTGTAAGATGGACATAACAATTTCTAAAACCTTTGCAAAACCCTCTGAAGTTAAAAAAGCAGTACAGGGGATGGATTTTCCCAATATCTCATTTTAGGTCAAGGACAAAGGCAAAGTCCAGTATGTTCCATCCACTAGTTTAGACATAAAAAAAAACCACAGGACAAATCCTCATAGAAGTTATTCAGGATGAAATACAAATAAAACAGGCCGAAAAAGCTGTAATGAAGCTGTACTGGACACAAGTTAACACTCCAGTTAACTGAAACTGGAGGAGTAATTCCACGTATGATGAATATTAAGAAGTATTTTTATTCACTCCAATGTTAGAATCATACAGATAACCTTACTTCATAAACTGACAGGACATACACATCTAAAGACTACCCAACATGGAAGGGTCAACTATACTCATACTCTTTACTGTGAGGGAACTGCTACTGTTTTATACGATATAGAATATGGAAAGAAAAAATGTTATTAAGTAATTAATATTGTCTGCCTAGTTATTTGAATGCATTCAGCAGATGGATGAAGTGATAGCATTTTTTCACTTTTTCCTTTATACCTGAAGTTTACCTTAAAAAGGTAAAATCATAAAATTTAGTAGGCAGTCAGCACTTAACACTATATAGTGCAAACAGCTTGACAGTACTGCTAGCACAACCCCATTAAAGACCTTACCACTGGATTATTCCTTTATGTCTCAATGAGTACACAACCCCCCTCCCAATGTTGTAATGGGATTATGCATGCATGGAAGACTTGCATGTTGCAAAATAAAATGAAAGATAGGATGTGACATAAGAGTACCATCTGTCACATATATTCAGCAACCTCAATAAATGTTTTATATTAAAAAAAGACATAAAATTCTCTTTAATAACATTCTTCTAAAAATTCTCCACTGGGATGTATGTTATGCAATCAGTCATGGATGGCATCAGACTGATAACTTAGACGCACCTTAGACTGGAGAACACTCGTGTTTGTCACCAGCTGCAATGAGCTGTTCACTGAGGACCCCACAAGAACCTGCATTTACAGCAGATCCCTGCTGCTTTAAGTTTCCGGTATAATCTGAAGCAGCCATCTTCAGCCCCTTGGGTTAACAAAATAACAAGAAACTATTTCTCTAGCATCGCTAGCAATTTGCTGTATTAGAGTATCCCTGTTGCTAGAGAGACTCATCCCTGCTGTAGCGCTGACTGTGAAAGCCAGATTACAAAACTGCATTACTTTCAGCATAAATCCCTAAATTAATCATATCACAATACTCAGTGCTGGCAACACAGATTATGCATGGGTGGAAAGAAAGCAGGAAAACATTACGATATATATCACTGGAGAAGGAACATGATAATTTTCTAGCCTCTTCTTCAGTATGGCTGCAGCAAAACCCTCCAGCTATTCACCATGCAGCTTCAAAACCATAACAGTCACGTGAATGATTTTATTTTAGTTTGCAGTGATCACAGTTAAAAGGTCTTTGGCGTTTCCTTTTTAAAGAACTGTCATATGTGCAGTTCAGGGCTGGTGAAAGACGCCAATGTGAATGCCCAGAAGA